CTATAGTCTAGTCCATAGTCGAGTCTATAGTCTTGTCTATAGTCTAATATATTCTAGTCTATAATCTAGTCTATAGTCTAGTCTATAGACTAGTCTCAGTCCAGTCCTATTGTCTAGTCTATAGTCTAGTCTATAGTCTAATCTATGCTCTAGTCTATAGTCTAGTCGATAGTCTAGTCTATAGTCCAGTTTATGGTCTTGTCTGTACTCTAGTCTCTACTGTAATCTATAGACTAATCTCTACTCTAGTCTATAGTCTAGTCTCTACGGTAGTATATAGTCTAATCTATAGTCTAGCCTATAGTCTAATGTATAGTCTAGTCTATAGTCTAGTCTATAGTCTAATCTACTGTCAAGTCTAGTATGTACTCTAGTCTATAGGCTATTTTATAGTCTAGTTTATAGTTAAATCGACGGTATGGTCTATAGATTAGACAATACTCAAGTCTATCTATAGTCTAGCGAAAATTAGGTTAGTAGTACTTTAAAACATAAACATGTCTGCTTTAAAATCTGTTGAAATTTAGTAAAAAAGTTTTTGTAATTAACTGAAATTTACCTTAAATTTATTTTTAAAGTTTAATAAACAGTCATAAGTTTTTCTCAAACTGAAAATTATTTTCAGATTTCGCTTTTTAACAGCTGCTTACTAAACTTTTGTTTAAACTAATAAAAGTTTTTAAATTTTTTTGTCTCAAAGACGTTTTTTTTTTTTTTAATTTTATAATTCGTTTTATTTTTTATAATTAAATGTATATGTTTTATATAATGGTTTTTTTATTTAGGTTTTTTGTATTTTTTTAATTTTAAGAAACATCTAAGAATTTTTTTTATAAAACATTGAATTATTTTTTTCAGTTTATTTAATTTTTGTGTGATTTTTTTTTAATTTTTTTTTAGCAGTAATTTGTTTTCGTATAATTTCCATTTTTTGTCAATGTTTGTTAATGATTTTTTTTTAAATATCAGTGATAAGCTGGCTTTTTAAATTTAATGCTTAATTTGTTTTTAACGTTTTTTTATTATTTAAATATGTTTAAGGGATTTTTATGTATTTTTTTTTTTAAATAAATTTTATATATATTTCTCATAACCTCAATTTCATTTATTCATTGTTTGTTTTATTTAAATTTCTTTTTTAAGATTTTAAAGTCAAGTCCGAGTTTTTTGTAATTTAATTAAACAGTTTTAAAGAGTAATTCCAAACTTTATTCTAAAAACATTTCTTAACGTTTTTACACTCAAGTAACTCATTCACAATAGAAATTCGACAACTGTAGACTAGCCGAAGAGTTCACAATAGTTGATTTAGTTCATAATAATAGTGAAAAACGTGCGAATTTGTAATTCGAAAACCTTGACTTCTTTAGCAGCAGGGGAGTTGTTAATGGGTTTGCCCAAGATTTTTTTTTTAATTTAAAGATTTTCATTTACATTTTTTATAAAAATATTAAAGTTTCTTTAAATTTGAAGTTTCTGGTTTAAATTTTTGTTAAAAATATATTTTTGTTCAATTTACCATTTCGTAAGAAATATTCCCAAAGTTTTCTTGAATTTCTTTATATAATTTTCATGAAATTTGTGGTTTTAAAACTTGTTCCATTAATTAAACTGTTTAATTTTATAAGAAAGTCTGGGTATTATAGATTTTTTCAAGTTATTTAAGTGACAACATATTTTGTATTGAAAGTTTTTATAAATTTAAGTTAAAAAAGGTCCAACTGGTATTTGAACAATCGAAATTCAGATTTAAATTCTATTTCGATCTCGATTGACATTGATGAGACCTTTAGAGGAATAATAAAGAAATCAGTATAGGCTTGAGACTATACTCTGGACTGGACTATACAATAGTCTATAGTCTGGACTATAGAATAGTCTATAGTCTGGACTATAGAATTGTCTAGAGTCTGGACTAAAGAATTGTCTATTGTCTGGACTATAGAATAGTTTATAATCTGGAGTATAGAACAATCTACAGTCTATCCTAAAAAATAGTTTATAGTCTGGAGTATAGAACACTCTACAGTCTGGACTATAGAATAGTTTATAGTCTAGACTATAGTATAGTCTAGAGTCTGGACTATAAAATAGTTTATAGTCTGGATTATAGAATAGTCTATAGTCTGGACTATAGAATAGTTTAAAGTCTGGACTATAGAATAGTCTATAGTCTGGACTATAGAATAGTCTACAGTCTGGACTATAGAATAGTCTATAGTCTGGACTATAGAATAGCCTATAGTCGGGACTATGGAATAGTATATGGTCTGGACTATAGAATAGTCTAAAGTCTGGATTATAGAATAGTTTATAGTCTGCACTATAGAATAGTCTATAGACTGCACTATAGAACAGTCTATAGACTGGTCTATAGAATAGTCTATAGTCTGGACTATAGAATAGTCTATAATCTAGACTATAGAATAGTCTATAGTCTGGACTTATAGAATAGTCTATAGTTTGGACTATAGAATAGTCTATAGACTTGACTACAGAATAGTCTATAGAATAGTCTATAGTCTGGACTATAGAATAGTCTATAGTCTGGACTATAGAATCGTCTATAGTCTGGACTATAATATAGTCTATAGTCTGGACTATAACATAGTCTATAGTCTGGACTATAATATAGTCTATAGTTTGGACTATAGAATATGTAGTCTATAGTCTGGACTATAGAATAGTATATAATCTGAACTATGGAATAGTCTATAGTCTGGACTATAGAATAGTCTATAGTCTAGACTATAACATAGTCTATAGTTTGGACTATAGAATAGTCTATAGTCTGGACTATAGAATAGTCTATAGTCTGGACTATAGAATAGTCTATAGTCAGGACTATAGAATAGTCTATAGTCCGGACTATAACATAGTCTATAGTCTGGACTTATAAAATAGTCTATAGTTTGGACTATAGAATAGTCTATAGACTGGACTATAGAATAGTCTATAGAATAGTCTATAGTCTGGACTATAGAATAGTCAATGAACTAGACTATAGAATTGTCCATAATCTATCCAATGGAATAGTCTAAAGTCTGAACTATAGCTTAGTCTATAGTCTAGACTATAACATAGTCTATAGTTTGGACTATAGAATAGTATATAGACTGGACTATAGAATAGTCTATAGACTGGTCTATAGAATAGTCTATAATCTGGACTATAGAATAATCTATAGTCTGGACTATAGAATAGTCTATAGTCTGGACTATAGAATAGTCAATGAACTAGACTATAGAATTGTCCATAATCTATCCTATGGAATAGTCTAAAGTCTGAACTATAGCTTAGTCTATAGTCTAGACTATAACATAGTCTATAGTCTGGACTATACCATAGTCTATAGTTTGGACTATAGAACAGTCTATTGTCTGGACTATAGAATAGTCTTTAGTCTGGACTATAGAATAGTCTTTAGTCTGGACTATAGAATAGTCTTTAGTCTGGACTATAGAATAGTCTTTAGTCTGGACTATAGAATAGTCTTTAGTCTGGACTATAGAATAGTCTTTAGTCTGGACTATAGAATAGTCTTTAGTCTGGACTATAGAATAGTCTTTAGTCTGGACTATAGAATAGTCTTTAGTCTGGACTATAGAATAGTCTTTAGTCTGGACTATAGAATAGTCTTTAGTCTGGACTATAGAATAGTCTATAGTCTGGACTATAGAATAGTTTATAGTCTGGACTATAGAATAGTCAATAATCTGTACTATGGAATAGTCTATAGTCTGAATTATAGCATAGTCTATAGTCTGGACTGTACATTAGTTTATACTCTAGACTATAAAATAGACTATAAAAAAGTCTATAGTTTGGACTATAGAAGAGTCTATAGTGTCTGGACTATAGAAGAGTCGATTGTGTCTGGATTTTAGAATAGTGTATAGTGTCTGCACTATAGATTGATCCATCTATGTCTGGAATATTGCTATATTCCCCAAAAATCGAAATAACAAATTTCAGTTAAGTTTTTTTGCTGTCACTTTTTAACAAATCCATAATTTTTATGTCCTTTTATAGGCATGTCCTTGCCGTGCAACGAAAATTTTCTTTTAAATATAAAATTTCTGTAATAAAAAATATTATAAATATTTTTTTTGTTTACTTTAACTCATTATTATTGGTTAATTTCCATGGGTTTTTTTACTTGTTTTTTTTTATAATAATTTATAAACTATTTATTTAAAAAAAAGAAGATGAAATTGTATGCTAAAATTAAAAATATATATGTATATATGTATGTATATTATGCATAATTATAATGTTATGTTTTCATTAATATAATAATATAAAGGTTTTGTTTAATGGTAATAATAATAAAATTTAAATTAAATATAAAAGAAAAGAAAAAAAATTAAATAATTTTTTTTTTGTAATGAATTTTTTTTAATTATAAACATTGTGGTTGTGTAGAGTTTCGTAGAGATACAAGAAGTAAAAACATTTTTTTGCTATGCGTTTTTGTTTTTTTAATAAACTTCTTTTTTTTAATTTTATATTTTAATGTTTTAATTAAAATATAAAATATTTTCTTTATATTTTTTACTTTTTTTAAAAGAAATTGTTTCTTTTTTTAGTTATAAATCCTTTTTCTTTAATTATATTATTATTTATAATAATATTTTGTTTAAATAAGTGTTTCTATCCTGTTCGCCGGTTTACAAACGTGTGTGTGTGTGTGAATTTTTATAATTCTGGGAGAAAGTCCTTTTTTTATATTTTATATAATTTGTTTTTATATGTTTTATTTGGGTATGTAGATTTTTTCAATTACTTTTTTTGAAATGTTTTTTTGCATTTATATTTAAATATATAAGAAATTGTTTTTATTTATGTAATAGAAAAATTATTTAAGTTTATGTTTTGTATGTAATAATAATTTTCTATTAATTCGCAATTTATTTTTTTTTTGTAATTTTTTTCACTAAAACCAAAAGCAATTAACTTACTTTTCTTTAAATGTTTTATTTTTTATTAATTTGCCAGTATTTTTTTTGTAATTTAATTGTGATTAGCTGAAAAGGAAAAGAAATTTGTAATTACAATTGTTAGGTTAAGGTTTTTAAATAAATAAGAGTGATTTACTCGAAAAAATGTGTGAATTTTATTAACGCAATGAAGTTTGAAATGTGTGAAAATTGTATGAGGCAAACGTAAAGGAAAAATAATATAAATAATTTGAAATATAAAACTATTAGTAATGAAAATACTATAATATTCTCTATTTTTGGTTCACACAAGTAAACATTTTATTAATATTTATCTACTATAGAGTAGTCTATAGACTGGACCATAGAATAGTCTAAAGTGTAAACTATAAATCGTGTATTTATAGTCTGAACTATGGGACAGTGGGATACAATCTACAATATTATAGAATTGTGTGTACTATAAATAGAATAGTCAATAGACTCGACTATAGAATAGTCTATAGACTGGACTACAAAATAGTCTATAGACAGGACTATAGAAATGTCTATAGACTGGACTATAGAAATGTCTATAGACTGGACTATAGAATAGTCTATTAACTGGACTATAGAATAGTCTATAGAAAGAACAATAGACTAGTCTATAGACTGGGCAAAACAATAGTCTATAGATTGGATTATAGAATAATCTATACACTGGACAATAGAATTGCCTATAGACTAAACATTAGAATAGTCTTTAGCCTGGATTATATAATAGTCTATAGACTGGACTATAGAATATCTATAGAATGGACAATAGAATAGTCTATAGACTGGACTATAGAATAGTCTATAGAATGGACAATAGAATAGTCTATAGACTGGACTATAGAATAGTCTATAGAATGGACAATAGAACAGTCTATAGACTGGGCTATAGAATAGTATATCGACTGGACAACAGAATAGTCTAAAGACTGGACAATAGAATTGTCTATGGACTGAACTTTAGAATAGTCTATAGCCTGGATCATAGAATTGTCCATAGACTGGACTATAGAATAGTCCATAGACTGCACTATAGAATAGTATATAGACTAGACTATAGAATTGGTAATAGAATGGACAATAGAATTGTCTATAGACTGAACTTGAGAATAGTCTATAGACTGGACAATAGAATTATCTATAGACTGGACTATAGAATAGTCTAAAGACTGGACTATAGAATAGTCTATAGACTGGACAACAGAATTATCTATATTCTGGACAATAGAATAGTCTATAGATTGGACTATAGAATAGTCTATTAACTGGACTAAAAAATAGTCCATAGACTAGACTATAGAATAGTCTATAGACTGAACTAAAGAATAGTCTATAGACTGGACTATAGCATAGTCCATAGATTGGACTATAGAATAATCTATAGACTGGACGATAGCATAGTTTATAGAGTGGACTATAGAATATACTACAGAATAGCTAATATACTAGACTATCGAATAGTCTATAGACTCGACTATAGAATAATCTATAGAAAGGGCTATAGAATAGTTTATAGACTGGATTTAAAATAGTCTTTACACTGGACTATAGAATAGTATATAGACTGGGCTATAGAATAGTTTTAATGCGGGACTAAAGAATAGTCTACAGACTGAACTAAAGAATAGTCTATAGACTGGACAATAGAATTATATATAGTCTGGACTATATAATAGTCTAAAAACTGGACTATAGAATAGTCTATAGACTGGACTAAAGAATAGTCTATAGAATGGACTATAGTATAGTCCATAGATTGGACTATATATAAAATAATCTATAGACTGGACTATAGAATAGTCTATAGACTGGACTATAGAATAGTCTTTAGACTGAACTATAGAATAGTCTATAGATTGGACTATAGAATAGTCTATAAACTGGACTAAAAAATAGTCTATAGACTGGACTAAAGAATAGTTTATAGACTAGACTATAGAATAGTCTATAGACTGAAATAATCTATAGACTGGACTATAGAATAGTCTATAGACTGGACTATAGAATAGTCTATAGACTGGATTATAGAATAGTCTATAGATTGGACTGTAGAATAGTCTATAAACTGGACTAAAAATAGTCTATAGACTGGACTAAAGAATAGTCTATAGACTAGACTATAGAATAATCTATAGACTGAACTACAGAATAGTCTATAGACTGGACTATTACATAGTCCATAGATTGGGCTATAGAATAATCTATAGACTGGGCGATAGAATAGTCTAGACTGGACTATAGAATAGTCTATAGATTGGACTATAGAATAGTCTATAAACTGGACTATAGAATAGTCTATAGACTGGACTATAGAATAGTCTATAGACTGGATTATAGAATAGTCTATAGATTGGACTATAGAATAGTCTATAAACTGGACTAAAAAATAGTCTATAGACTGAACTAAAGAATAGTCTATAGACTAGACTATAGAATAGTCTATAGACTGAACTAAAGAATAGTATATAGACTGGACTATAACATAGACCATAGACTGGACGATAGAATAATCTATAGACTGGACTATAGAATAGTCTATAGATTGGAATATATTTAGACTATTCTATAGCCCAGTTTATAGACTATTCTATAGTCCATAGATAGGACTATACAAATGTCTATAGACTGGACTATAGAATAGTCTATAGAATTGACTACTCTATAGACTGGACTATAGAATAGTCTATAGAATTAACTACTCTATAGACTGGACTATAGAATAGTCCATAAACTGTACTATAGAATAGTCGACAGAAAGAACAATAGAATAGTCTATAGACTGGACAATACAATAGACTATAGATTGGACTATAGAATAATCTATAGACTGGATAATAGAATTGTCTATAGACTAAACATTAGAATAGTCTTCAACTTGGATTATATAACAGTCTATAGACTGGATGATAGAATAGTCTATAGACTAGATTATAGAATATCTATAGACTTAAATATAGAATAGTCTATAGACTGGACTATAAAATAGTCTATAGAATGGGCAATAGAATAGTCTATAGACTGGACTCTAGAATAGTATATCGACTGGACAACAGAATAGTCTAAAAACTGGACAATAGAATTGTCTATAGACTGAACTTTAGAATAGTCTATAGCCTGGATCATAGAATTGTCCATAGACTGGACTATATAATAGTCTATAGACTGCACTATAGAATAGTATATAGACTGGACTATAGAATTGGTAATAGATTGGACAATAGAATTGTCTATAGACTGAACTTTAGAATAGTCTATAGACTGGACAATAGAATTATCTATAGACTGGACTATAGCATAGTCTATGGACTAGAATATAGAATAGTCTATAGACTGGACAACAGAATTATCTATAGTCTCGACTATAGAATAGTCTAAAAACTGGACTATAGAATAGTCTATAGACTAGACTACAGAATAGTCTATAGACTGAATTATTTTGTATTTTTTACACTTTCAACCAAATTAGTAAACAAGACTGTTTGCATATAAAATGTGTTTCTTTTTTCTCTTGATAAAAATGTTGCATTTTTGCACTTAAATTGTATTTTATTAAAAAATGTTGCAAACTGTTGCTCCACAAATGAACAAATTTTTAGGACTTCAAATTTGCAGCAAAAACAATATTAACTTTTATTATTTTCTCCAAAAAATATAGAGTTTTTTTTTGATAAAAATTTTGCCTTTTTTGCACTTTGTACTTAAATTGCATTTTTTTTTTTTTATTTATTTTTTTGAAAGAAGACGCCAATTGTCAAAAGTATTATATTACCCGCAAACGCCAAAGACATTTCACTGTCCGTCCAAAATACTTTCATGATCTTTTAAAATTCCATAAAAATTCACTTTTTTAAACTTTATGCAAAAGTATAAAATAACCAATCAAAAGAGAAAGTTTTTTTTTTTTTGTAGTTTTCTTTGCTTTTACGCATATAAATATAAATTTATTCAAATTTTAAATTTTCTTTTTGTTAATTATTATTAAATAGTATATATTTCTTTAGCAAATAAGTTTGTTGTTTTGTTCTTTTTTTTATTCTTTCTAATATAAAGAGTAAGATTTCTTTCAATATTTAAATATAAATTAAAAAAAAAAATGTATATAATAAAAATAATGTGCAATTATTGCATTATTAAGTAAATTAATTAAAGTTTTGTTTGTTTGTATTATTTTAAACATGTTTTTATGAACAAATTAAAATTCAAAATGCACGAAAAATGTATGTGTGTGTGATGAGGATAAAAAGGAAAGTGTGTGTGAGGGAAAGTTATGATGCATATATAACGATGTTGATGATAATAAAGTTAAAGATGATTGTTTAATGTTTGTGGTGAGGAAGGGAGATGGGTGGTTGTGTTTGTTTGTATGTGTGTGGATGTTGTTCTTCAGTAAATCTAAGTAATTTTTAATTACCTCGATTTGGACCAGCACTGGCCGCATTGTTCGCATAATAGGGTTTATTCAGTTGTTGTTGCTGTTGATTAGCCGATTGTGGATTATTATTGCCGCCACCTTGATTATTACCACCGGGACCACCAGGGCCTCCTCCATTACCAGGAGCACCTACTTGGCCACCGCCTTGGGGACCACCAGGGCCACCACCTTGCGGTCCGCCATTACCATTGCCACCACCTCCGCCTCCTTGGCGAAGGTTTTGAGGTTGTTGACCTCTTTGAGCTTGTTGTTGCTGCTGCTGTTGTTGTTGCTGTTGTACTTGTTGCTGTTGCTGAACTTGTGGTCCCTGTGGATGTTGTGGATAGTTAGTGGGCCTTTGTATGGGCGTAGGATAACGTCCCTGGGATCCTTGAGATCCTGGTGGACCACCAGCACCACCTCCCCCACGATTATTAGGATTCATATTTTGATTATTACCACCAGGGCCACCAGCCATTCTTTGTTGCACGGCCTGCTGAGATTGCTGTTGCTGTTGTTGCTGAGCAGCAGCCTGTTGTTGCATTACTTGATCCCACTGTAAAGAGAGATAAAAAGATGGGATAAGTAAGTAAGTAAGTAAGTAAGCAGATAGATAGATAGATAGATAGATAGATAGATAGATAGATAGATAGATAGATAGATAGATAGATAGATAGATAGATAGATAGATAGATAGATATATAGATAGATAGATAGATAGATAGATAGATAGATAGATAGATAGATAGATAGATAGATAGATAGATAGATAGATAGATAGATAGATAGATAGATAGATAGATAGATAGATAGATAGATAGATAGGTAGATGGATAGATAGATAGATAGATAGATAGATAGATAGATAGATAGATAGATAGATAGATAGATAGATAGATGGATAGATAGATAGATAGATAGATAGATAGATAGATAGATAGATAGATAGATAGATAGATAGATAGATAGATAGATAGATAGATAGATAGATAGATAGATAGATAGATAGATAGATAGATAGATAGATAGATAGATAGATAGATAGATAGATAGATAGATAGATAGATAGATAGATAGATTAGATAGATAATAGTTAATTAGCCAGATATATAGTTAATTAGCTAGACATATAGTTAATTAACTTGATATATAGTTATTTCGTTCGATAGATAGTTCATTAACAAGTTACTCAGATACTAAGTGAGTCAGTCAGTTAGTAAGTAGTAAGGTTTATTCCCTCATTATGAATTATACATAATCACTATTCTACTACTTACACTTCCATAATTTTTATGATGTGGTGGACTTGGTTGTGATTGAGCTTGTTTAACCAAATTTAAACTGACATCAGCGCCCAAAGGGCTTTTCAATTGACGGCCCATCTAAAATTAATTTACAAAAACAAACATAAAATTTCATACTAATTATAACACTTCTTTAAAAACACTTACCGAATCTTGTAGATGCGTTTGTTGCTGACTCGACTTCATGTACGCGGCAGCCGCTGCCTGTTGCTGTGGCGTTGGTCCGCCACGAAATTGATTTATAGCCGCCGCCGTTAACAGTTGTGAGTTCATAAATTGTGTATTAAAGTTGCCCATTGTATGTTGAGATTGTGGACCTGGGGGACCTTGTGGAGGACCAGGTGGTCCATTCGAACCTGGCGGACCACCTTGATGACCAGCATGTCCTCCATAAAGGCTAGCAGCTGCGGCTGCAGCCGCCAGACCATAATTTTGAGCACCAGCTCCAGCGCCTTGTGGTGGTGGACCACCATAGAAAGCGGTAGGTCCACTAGGTCCGCCAGCAGAATTTGAATAGTAGCTATTCGATTGCAATTGATGGGCTCCCGGTGGAGGTCCAGGAGGACCTCCTTGAGGATGCTGTGGTGGTGGACCAGCAGCATACAAGTTCATATATTGTTGAGCGGCGGCAAAGGGTCCACCGCCACCAGCTCCCTTAGAGCCAATGGTGCCTAATTGTTGGGAGGAGGGAGGCGGTTTGACAGAACCCACTGTGGACATTAAAGAATTGGAATTCGAAGAGATAATGGCCACGGCTGCGGCATTGGGATTGTTTAGTTGCTGCGAATTGGGATTGCCAAACGGTGAGGGTCCTCCACCCATGCGGAATTGTGAAGTGAGGTTAGAGTACATTTCGGGGGTGGGTGCAGTAGCCATATTCGGTGGTGTTTGTATGGGATAAGCATTAAAGGGTCCTCCCGCTGCGGCGGCCGCACCGAAGTGTCCGGGAAAACTGTGGGCCGCAGCTGCCGAAAACTGTGAACGACTTGAATGATCAAGAGAATGGAATGGTGCGTAGAGTCCTCCCTGCGAGGGTGGAGGTGGCATTTGTGATGAATTGTAAACAACAGCTGCCGGTGGACTGGGTATGGTGGGCATACCCGTGAATTGTGGTGAAGCCTGATAGAAAGGTGCATGTATTTGTTGTTGGGCAGCCGATTGTTGTTGTTGTTGTTGCTGCTGCTGTTGTTGTTGTTGTTGATGCTGCTGTTGTTGCTGGAGATTGGGTGGTGGTGACATACCCATCGAGGAGGCATGATGCTGTTGCATTTGTTTAGCGGCAGCTGATACTTGTTGTTGCTGCTGCTGCTGTTGTTGTTTCACAACATCCGAGGGATGTTTGAGACCCTGTTGTTGTTGCTGTTGCACATTTTGTTGTTGTTGTGGACTGGGATAACCTACTACGGAGTTATCATCATTGGCTCCCACCACAATGCCGGCGGCAGTCTGACTAAACTGTTGCTCCAATTGAGCAGCATCGAATGCTGAAGCATGACCACCAAATGCCGAGGGCACAGTGCCGGGTGAAGATAAAGAATGATGTTGCATGTGTACCGCAGTTACAGCATAGTGAGGCAAATGTTGTTGCTGCTGTTGTTGGGAGGCGGCCACAGCGGCTACAAAAGAAGCGGCAGTCATATGACCGCTAGTATCTACAGCTTCCATTTGTTGTTGCTGTTGATGCTGCTGCTGTTGTTGTTGATGCTGCTGCTGTTGATGATGTAGTTGCTGTTGTTGTTGCAATACCGTAGATGCCGCCTCGTTGGACAAAGTCGGTTGCACATTTTCCCATACTTTCTTGACACTGGCAATTTTCATATTTAAATCTGCTGCCGATATAATGTTTTGAGCCTGTTGAGATTGTTGCTGCTGATGTTGGGGAGTCTGTTGTTGTTGTTGCTGCTGTTGCTGTTGCATAGCAGCTTGTGCCTGTTGCTGCTGTTGTTGTTGCTGCTGCTGATGATTTTGATTCGTTTGTTTTGTTTCATTGTCATTCTGTTGTTGTGTCATACCTTTGGTGGCTGAAGTGTAGGATTCGGTGGCATCACCAAATGAAAAGCCAAGCTTCATTTCCTTATCATAATCATTAGCTGATACACCGCTACCACCAACTACTGTAGACTGTTGCACAATACTGTCGGCTGCTTGTTTCGAGTTACCGCCAAATGTCATTTGTGATAGAGCATTGGTTAGAGTATCTACACCGGTTACCGAAACATTAACACCCGAAACATTAGAAACAACCACCGAAGAAGCCACTAAGGATTCCGAGGAACGTTTCATTTGCGCTGCTTGTGCTTGTTGTTTGTAATTGGTATTTTCGAATATTATGGTATTGACGGGTGTGCCATCAATAAGTAGACCTCCTGTACTGGACTTATTGTCTACACTAATGGAACTGACCGTTGACATTTTGGATTTTTCATTTTCGAGTTTTTGCGCAGCGGCATTTGTATCCGCTTTACTTTTCTGTAAATCTTGCGCCGCTTTTTGCTGCATTGAAGAGGAAATGCCAGACGTTGAGACGGCTGGTTTGATAATTGTGCCTCCTAGACCTGGTGGCGGTTTGGTTATGGTTTGTGGTTGCTGTTGTTGTTGCATTACCTGCTGTTGCTGAGTAGGTTTTACTGTTATGGTTGTACCTTGAGTAACAGCATTTGGCAGTGTTGTCATTGGTAAATCTTGTTTTTTAGCTTGTGTTCCAGCCGCCAGTGAAGCACTATTTGTTGAACCGGTAATATTGGAGGAGCTTCTTGAAGTCGGAGCCGCCGTTGTGGGTAAGTCTTTTTCCTTAGAAGCAGATTTCTTGTCCCGTTCTTGGTTGTTAGTATTGCTGCTGTTGTTTGAGTTGTTGCTGCGTTCATCATCGGTTTTCGTACTTGAAATACTTTCCTTACGTTGCTGTTGGCCACTTCCTGCAAACTGTTTGGGTGGTGTAGTGGTCGAGTTTTTCTTTTCAGGTTCATTGGATTTTTTCAATTGCTGCTGCTGTTGTGGTGGCGACTGTTGTTTGCCTCCCGCTACTGTTTGGGTTTGAGAACGTTCTCCACCATCTTTGTCTTTGACTTTAGTGAGACCTGCACTTAAGGCCATTTGATTTTGCTTGGTTTTGTCTACTTCGGTATTATTGTTCTCCGATGACTCTGAGGTGCGTTTCAAGTCTTTGTTATGATCATCATAACTCTGTACATAGCGTGTTCTAAACGAGGAGGAAGAATTCATGCCTCTGTCACCTACATTACCGCCTCCACCACGACCTCTGCGTGAGGGTTCACCACGAGGAGCAAAACCTCTTTCGTCTGAAGAACCGGCATTGCTTCGACCTCCCTGGCCTCTTCCACCACCACCATCTTTACGTGGTACTTTGGGACTGCGCTCCGAGCGTCTGCCGCTTGAGTAATGGTGATCATCATCATTATCCTCATTATCATGATCTGAATAATGCATATCTTGGTTATTGCCCGAGTTTTGATAACGTCCACCTCTCGAATTACCACCTCGTTGATTCCAACCGCCGCCATCTCCTCTGCCGCCACGATAGGAACCTCCACTGGCTCCAAAACTACGAGAGTGAGAAATACGATCTCTGTCATTACCACGTCCACCACCAGCAGAATCTCGTCCTCCGCCGCTTCTAGGACTGGGACGTTTTTCTCTTTGTGGCAAAGGAGCTCGTTGTTCCTGTTCATGTTGCTGCGACTTGGCGTTATCCGAATCTCCCACATTAGGTGAAAGTTCTTTGCGCGTATTTGTCTCAGTTTCCGTACGCTTAGCTTGCAAATCATTTTCAGTTTTATGTGTTTGCTCTTTACTTTCTTCCGACTGTTTAGCCGCTTGTTGTGGCTGTTGTTGTTCCGTGGGACTGGTTGTTGTAGATGCAGTAGCATTCAATTTATTTTGATCATTCGATTCAGAACGTCTTAATATCTGTGTGGGGGCGAAAGTGTTAGAAGATTGATGATCACTGCTCTCACTCATACGATGTTGTTTATGATGTTGCTGTTGCATATGATGCTGCTGTTGTTGCTGCTGTTGCTGCTTTTGTTGTGGCGGTGAAGTTTCCTCTTCCGAAACACTCTTTTGGGTATGAGGCCTTTGCAATATCTTAATGGGTATCGATTCATGACTGTGCGAAGATGAAAAGCTTTCATCACGTTGTCTCTTTAGTTCTGCATCGGTTTCTTCAGCCCAGGAGGATACCAAACCACTGCCATAGTTGCTAGAGTCTCCGGTAAAACCATGTTTTACGGAATCATCATTTGATGAGACACTAGTCTTACGCTGGGAAGTATCGGAAATACTGCGAGACAATTGATTGGGACCCATACCACGACCATAATCATCTCCACCACGGTTGCCACCGCGCCCACCACCATGATAACGATCATCATCTCTTTCACTGTCATTGCGTGAACGATAACCCCCACTGCGGGTATAGTTATCACGGTATTCACCGCCACGTCCTCCACTATTAACTCCACCGCCCATACGTTGAGTTCCTGAACCTTTTTGTATGTAACGAGAGGAATTATCGTAATTGTTTGTAGTCGAAGATGAAGACTTTTCCATACCCATACTATTTGTATTAGAAATAGATCTACCGGTTTGCGATTGGTTATTGCCACTTACGCCGGAGCCATTACTTCCTCCTACACCAGCTGCAGAGGAAGCTGTCGTTTGCATTTGCTGTTGTTGACGAAACCGTGGTGGTAGATTCGACTGAAAATGAGCTGAAAATACTATTTTAGAGCCTTGTTGTGTCTTAGCTCCTACTGCATTGTTATTGTTGGCGGCATTTGTTAAGCCACCTCCGGCACCACCACTGGTATTGCCACTTCCTCTAACAAAATCTCCAGATCCTCTCATGTCCCGTGAATCGTAGCCCCCACTACGACTACCAGTACTTCCTCTATCCGAGTTGCCCGAACGTTCATAACCACCTCCACTTCTGCGCGATTGCTGGCTCTCTTCTCCGCTGGTTGATGAACTCATTTGTCCTTGTTGCGATTGTTGTTGTTGCTGCTGCTGCGTTTGTTGTTGCGACTGCTGCTGTTCATAGCCATAACCACCATCTCCGGCCGCCTTTTTACTATTCATTTTCATTTCTAATTCTTGTTTCTTTCTTGCAGCTGCCAATTTCCTTTCCATTTCTCTACGTTCTTCCTCCTCCTTGCGTTGTTTAACTCTTTCATAGACACTGGCATCTAGGGTTATGCTACCAGTACCACCAGCTGGTCGATGGCCATTTTGGTGACGTGTATCATCTACATGATCCCCACCGCTGATAGATTTTTCCCTTTCCAAACTGTCACGTTCCTTTCTTTGCCAATTACCCGCACCAGCTCCACCACCCGTGATGGAGGATGTCCCGCTGGCATTGGAGTTTTTGCGTTGATCATTGAGATTTCCACTGTTGGTCTTATTAAATACTGGTCTCTCACGTTCCTGCGTTGGCGTATCTTCGGGTGATTCATCATCTGAGAATGTCAATTTCTTGGTATAATCAATGTCATCCTGTTTTGTCCAACTGTCATCGTTAGCTATAGCATTTAGGCGTTCCAAATCTTCTTCTCTTATAATTGGTCGTTGCATCTGAGCAACTTCCGGTTCAATAATATAATCCTTATCTTTACGGTTAACACCGCTAACGCCACCACCACCACCATTGCTATTGGGTAGTGGAGGAGTATTAAGTAAAGGAGGACGTTTGGGTATAGACGTGGCCTGTCGGAAACTGCTGACTGCCGACGAAGAATTTGATGAGTTCGAGCGATAGTCTTGTATGTTTCCGCGTGTTTGTGTTCGTGTATTCAACGACGATGAAGACGAATCTTTAGTTATACCATTTTGATAGTTGGGTGGTGTCTGGGAACGTCCCATATTTGAACCACCTGAGCTGGAAGATGTACCATTGCCACCACCGCTGCCACTTCCGGCTGGTAGGGGTACACCGCGCTGCATAAATGGTGGCATCAAGGCCAATATTGGTAGTGGTACTGCAGCGCCAGAATTATTAGCCGCACCCTGTTGGGGGCCCTGGCCCTGATGGTTCGCTTGGTTGTCGGCTGCAACACCTTTGGCGTTCTTTTCCTGTTGTTGCAACCAAGCTGCAGCATCTGTTTGGGGTCTTAAGCTTACTTCGTTCATGTCGCGATTTTGATCGCCGCCGTTTCCGTCGTTGCCATCTCTGTAGTTGTTGTGTGCCTCGTTGCGTTGTTGATGATGCTGCTGATGTCGGCCTCCGCCGCCGCCACCACCATGATGATAATCTCCACCACGTTGATGATGATAATTCTGATGATGATTCGAATTCGAGTGATGATGTTGCTGCTGTTGATGATGATGATGGTGCATTTGATCTCCTCTGTCTCTGTCCCCACCTCCCCTTTCGTTTCGTTCTCCTCCGCCGCCGCCACTTCGGCGATTTGCAGCATTCGCATTGCCACCGCTTCCGACGCCACCAACTGTGCCATCTAATGTTGGAAACTCGTGTTGAAATTGTGGACTCTGATAGAGTGGTGGTACATTTGCTGTATTCTTCCCACCTCGTTGGTTGTCGTTTCCTGTTGTTACCGCAGACCATGTTATGGGTTTCTGTTGATTGTGGTGGTGTTGATTTTGATTACTACCGCTGTTTTTACCACCAACGGGTGCAGAATTATTTATTAATTTGCTACCAACTCCAATAACAGTGCTGTTGCTATTGCTATTACTACTACTGTTGTTGTTGCTGCTGTTGTTATTATTACTGTTACTGTTGTATTGTTTATGAAGGCTGCTGCCGCTGCTGTTGCTACTATTGATGTTGTTTG